ATTATAGAAGATATGAAAAGGAAATAGTGAGTTACAGGTAGAGGTGGCAAAATGGGTTACAGCTCATCAATTCGCTCATATTTGTTCGTTTTTTAATGATTTTGGGTGAACCATATTTAAAATGAGTTAAAAATAAATTGGGTAATTTTTAATCACTTAATTTGAGGGTCAAGATCATATTCAACCCATATTTCACCCATTACATAATAAATATAGAACATACATCTATTCTATATTATATTCAACTCATTTCTCTCTCTCTTTCTAAAATTCTCACACACGATTCTCTCTCTCTAAATTTGTGTCTCATTAATCCCATTTCTCTGCGTTTCTCTCCCTAGAAATTTCTTCTCTTTTCTTTACTTCTTTCTCTCTAAAATGAGTCTAATAAATATTACTGCATTTGAGATTTTTTTTTATTTGTTATTAAATAAAATTTAAAACCTTCTGAAAAAAAAATTTAAAAATTAAAAAAAAAAAATAATAATAATTAAAAAAAAGTTAAAAAATAATAATTAATAAGTCCACGGGTCATAACTGGTTGACCCTATACATTTCGACCCGTCAATATTCAACCCATTTGAGTCTTGGCCCATATTTGATCCGCCCATTTTTAACTCAATTCAACTTGTCCATTTGCTACCCCTAATTACTAGAGTAAGGAACACAACGAGAGTTTTCTATCTCAGCTAGTAAAGAACAATTCTACTTTTAGAGGTAATTGTTAGGAGCATGCATGTCAAATAATGAGAAGTCATGTTACGTTTTGAGCCACATCAATTAGTTTACTCTGCATCCATTTTGCCCCATGCCAACGAGTTTACCTCTCCAAACATGCTTCCGTTTCTGTACATTCATGCTTACATCTCCATGTCACAGTTGAGTGCTCTGCCAGCCTTTGGATCAACTGTGACATACCCTGCATACTGATCGAAATCTAAGCCCCATCTGGTTGCCCTGGCAAAGCGTCGATCTTGTCAGCTTGCATCAACCCATCTTGGGGACCAATGTACACATCAGAGTACTCTTTTGTGGCATGTAATTCTGCCCATGAATCTGAAACAGGGGGTTTTGGTGATCTTCTGGACTTGATCAACCTGTGAAGGTTTGCGGCCTGACTGGCATGACGACTTAAACTAACGAACGCCAAAAAGCAGATAGTGAAGAGCACCAAGGTGAGGCCTGTAGGTTTTTTCAAGAAGGACGATAATATTAAGAATTTTTCTTTGTTTTTTCTTTGGTCCTTTGTTTGTTCTTGGTGATTTTGGGGTCTACAATTAATCCCAAAAGTCAAAGTTGCCGGTTATGGTTTTGTACATTGTAAATATACAAGATAAGACCACAATGTATTAGATAAGCCAATTGAATTAAAGTAAAGTTTAAATCAATTAGGCTAATTATTGCATAGTACATGCATTTTGTAAATATATATAATATATCTATCCATTTATACTTAAATTGTAATCTTTGACATAAAATGGTTGGTAACTAATAAATTTGGAAGGAAATAAAAAAAGAGGATTTCGCTACCAGGACTCGAACCCAGGACTTTCACAAGGGAGAGCCGATTACCTATATCATTGTTTGATATATGCTATAGCGGTTGTTGTGTTTAAACGGCATACCAATTTCCTTTTACTCTATATAGTAAAAACACGGCACGAGTCCAAATTTCTTAATTTTACATATTATCAGTTCAACCCTTGATTTGAATTGAATCTCAGCTCATCAGGACTCTCTCTCTCTAATAATAATAATAAATAAATAAATCAAATTGGTATGGCGTATGAAGAGTAGGATGTTGATTCACTGCATTACACAGGATAGTTCTCCCTCAAGGTAATTTTCTTCTAACATTTGTCTAGACACGCAAAAACTCTGTCACTCTTAAAACATACTATGTACATGTTTGGTGTGTAACATGGGCATATATTATTCGCCGTGGGAATCATTAGTAAATTCATTCAATCACAATGCGTTATTTTAAGGGTAAACTACAATGCCCTTCCGGTTTGATCTAATCGTAAATAAACTTAAGTTTTGTAATTTGTTTGTAATGTGTACCCTGAGGTTTGCCCAAATTTACAAAGACCTTTCCTTTGTACAAAAATTAGTACTTTTTGTCAAAAAATCGATTTAAAGTGACAAAAATATGCTACAACAAAGTAGAAAACTCTATTTTAATATTTGATACATATATGCTAAATCTTCCCAAAATCAATCAAGGATAATAATCCAAAATCTAAAATCCAAAAACCATACCCTAGAAAATGTCATTGTGGGAGTGGTTGTGGTTGTGGCTGTGGCCATTTGTGGGAGGAGGTGCGGTGGCCATGGAATACTTATATTTGTATATATATTCTCATTATATATGTTGACTAATTATAACACTTGTTGTGTGGTTGTAAGTGAATATCTATCACTATCTATATTTGGTAATTAAAGATTACATGTCAATTTATTATTGATCCACATTAGCAGTGAGTATATCGTAAATCTTCACTAATAAAGACCTAAGTACTGTCCAATAAATAATATACTATTAAAGAGAGTAGGTAAGTAAATTCACATTATATTCTGACACAGGGGGTCTTTGCAAAAAAATGACAAACCTTAGGTTTATTTGCAATTAGGCCAAATATCAGAAGAGGTCAATGTGATTTACTCTTATTTTAATAAAAGTTGGCCCACCTACTTATAAAATTACGGATAACGAGATCATATGTATATTTAATTGAGTATACTAATGACACCGCGCAATCAATATATACTCCTATAACAGTGTCTTGAGCCTAGATTCTCCGAGCTATATATTTGACACATCTTATGGGAAGTCATGTTAGAGTCCATAAAGCAGAGATAGTTTTTGAGTTCCCTCGTCACCTTTCGGAGGTGAGCTAATTAATTAGGTACACAAAAACATTTATACTTTTAGACGCCATTGTTAATGACGTTGGGCTCCCCCTTACATGGTGAGAGGGAGGGTGAGATTCCAGCCTTCTAGAACATATTATGGAAGATATGAAACGGAAAGAGTAAGGAACAATTCTACTTTTAGAGGTACTTGTTATGAGCATGCATGTCAAATAATGAGAAGTCATGTTAAATTTTGAGCCACGTAAATTAGTCTACTCTGCATCCATTTTGCCCCACGCCAATGAGTTTACCTCTCAAAACATGCTTCCGTTTCTGTAAATTCATGCTTACATCTCCATGTATCCAGGTCTTAAACCGCCATCCTCCCCAACTCCGGCAAAGCTTCAAAGTTGATGCTGACTTTATCAATTTGGATTGGTAACTGTTGATGCTTCAAAGCTCATTCCATACCAGGAAGCTAGCAACTTTTCTTGTGTGTTTACCCTAGTGATTTGTATACTTCCCAATTTTGATATACTTATTTCTGTAGCTTATATTGAATGGCCACATTCGATCTTCTGAGTAAATTTATGTTTCAATGGCCTCACTCTAGTGTATATAACATATGGTAACAGTGAGAGGGTTTGGAATGTTGATGAGAAATGAAATAATTTCATTTTTCTTTGTGTATTTGTGTATCATATGAGAATGCAAATCCCTCAAGATAAAAATAGAAATTTGAGAGCATGTCATGTAGAGAGGGCAGTATCCTCAGGTTCTTCCCAGCTATTGAAATATTATCAGGTGAGTCCCATCATCACATTCAACGACTGAAAAATTCAAAATACAATACATTCGGGATACTCACATAATCATCGATGCAAAATGAATACTAATGTAAACCTCCATCGAAATTTATATTGTCCACACTGAAAATGAGAAGAAAAAATGGATGGTGTTACCTTATATTGTCTCTTCATGTGCAAGCATTTGATGAGTTAATTGGACCTAATGATTGCTAATGTTTGATGAGTTGGATTGGAATTGGAATTGGAATGAAGATAACCAGATAGTTCTGTCAAAGTAGGAAATGTGCTAAATGAAGGGTCAATTAGGTTAGGTTTGGCACAAGAATACCTAAAAATGGGATTGAAAATAACTATTACATATGTTATGCTAGAGTCTAACTGTACTAAAAGTGAAACAAAGCTGATGATTCTTTGGGCCATTCACTATTTTGTATACATTTTAATTTTAGTATATGAAACCCACTCAAATGATAGACTGTTTAATTTGGTGAAATCAAGTAAAAGTTTGACCGATGCATACATAAACAAGGACTATCATACATAAATAATTCTCAAATATAATGATTAAATGGAGTTAATTCATGCATCTTATCATGAGAGGATTACGTGATAACATTATTTTTATTATATGCTGAGTATAAAACAGTGTATAGCTTATATCACTCACATTACACACGCTAAAATAATCTAATTGTAAAACTTAAAAATAATAATAATAATAAAAAAACTTAAAATAATATTATATGAACTAGTAAATGACAACAATTTAATTTGATCAATAGAGAACATTAAAGTTTGATTAATCCCTTCAATTTGCAATAAATGGATGGATTTTGATTATTCAATTATAAATTTGAATTCGGGTTCTTTCTTTATTTATATGAACTAGTAAATGACAACAATTTAATTTGATCAATAGAGAACATTAAAGTTTGATTAATCCCTTCAATTTGCAATAAATGGATGCATTTTGATTATTCAATTATAAATTTGAATTTGGGTTCTTTCTTTAATTTTCTTTTGGGAATTCGACCCGACCCGACCCGACCATAGTGTAAAACAAAATAGGAGAAAGCCAAAATAAATACTACTCCATAAAACAAAAAATTTCCGCTGCCGGGACTCGAACCCGGTGCTCTCTTGGAAAGAGAGCCAAAGACCAAGTCGTTGTTCAAGTTTGCTACAGCGGAGGATTTGTTGGTGTAGCATTCCAATTTAATTTTCTACTAAAAAAAAGAAGGGCACAAATCCACTGTCTCGCCTCTAATCGATCAATTATACATACATACATATATACATACATATATACATATATATATATATGTATCAGTTCAACCAAGAATTGAATTGAAGTCCAATTGTTGTTGCTCATCTTCTTCGTGCTGTGATGGTCTCAAATCCATCAACCATTGACATTTCGTCCTGGGATGGAACCCTCTCCTCACGTGACTTCTGTCTTGCGGCACGTGCTTTCTCTGATATATGGAAAACCTCCAATCCTGCTCTGCCCTCAATGGTCATGGGTAGTCCCTTCTCCAAAACTACCTCTCATTGCTCCCCATCAAGTTAGTCTTTTTTTTCCCATCATTCTAAATACTCTCTCTCTCTCTCTCTCTCTCTCTCTCTATATATATATATATATATATATATATTAAATCTCTCTCTGTATGTATACATATATCAGGTAGAAGGGTATTTATTGCTAGAGAATGTGATTCTTCCCAGGTTTAGTGAGGTTGGGTCTTTATATTTTAACTTGGAATCAATCAGCTCTATATTGGGTGTGTTTAATTTGCTATGTTAATCACATTATGAGACTCTTTTTTGCAGGAAGATCATGATGAAGGAAGTCATACTCAAAAAGAAGAGCCCAGTTGTTCTGATCAGGATGAGCCTATTGATAGTGCCATTTTGGTATGTATAATTTTGGTGATTTTATTGTTTCAGCTTTCTTATTTTTATAAAACATTAAAATATCGAATTGGACACAGATAATGATACTAGGAGTTATATTTTACTAAATAGCTCAGTTTTTTTTTTTTTTTTTCTTTGGTCCCTTCTATGATGCTCTTGAAAGATATAATTGTTCTATTTGCTAGGTAAAGAGCTGTGGTGGTGAATTACATCACTATGACTTCCATATTGTGTACAGCACTTCATATCGTGTCCCAGTGCTATATTTTCGTGCTTATTGCAGTGGTATGTACATCCATATGCAACTTTTTATGAAGAGAGTATCATTTTAATGTTTTTACAAAACAACATGTAACAATGTGCATCAAATTTACTTTTCATACATGTGGTGCAAACATGTGCAAATAAATCTAATTCTCATGCCAAAAATTCTCTTAGTAATATGATGAAGCTAATAATAACCCAAAAATTCTCTTAGTTACATTGACTTTCTATTTATGGGAGTAGAAATTATATCATGGGTGAGTGGCTAGGAAACTAGATGATTTCCTAGGTTTTAGACAATAGAGTATGCGGTTTTGCGCTGACTAGAAATTATATATTTTATAACATGCTCTAAAGTGTAATGCTTTTCAGCTGGATTTAATTGTCATTGATTTTTCAAAAATATTACCATGATATCATATATTTCACTAATGTATTCTATATTCTGAGTTGGTTTGATCTTTTTTCTTTTCTCCTCTCTCTCTCATACACACACACACACATATATATGCAAGATGTCTCTTTGTTTGGCATCACTATATAAGTATATATAAATCTTGATATTTATGAACCTTTTCATGAAATTTTCCAACTCAAATTTGATGCATAGAACATTGTTCAAATTTTATTTAGCAGCATGGTTTGAGAGGAATGCTTTGATTGTAATTATAACTCAAATAGCACGAGTCCACAAGACACTAAAAGGTTTTCACTCAAGGCTGTTTCCCTAAATTTGGTGAAGGCCAAATTCAAAGCTAGAACCTTTCCCACAGTTGCAGAATGTTTCAATTTATGCGCCTTCCGATTTTTAGATAAACCAATAAAGATATATGGTCTGATGAGGCTACTATGAAATATTTACTCATGGGTGGGGCAGGCTCGTCCATTTTCATTTATGTTTTAACTTGACTATGCTATGTTGAATTACTTGTTTCGCATATCCCACTCTCTGTCGATGCAACTAGCATATGCAAGACTAGATCTGCAAGTTGTTCGTGTTGGTAGGCAAGCGCCATAGGTAGATCGGGCAATTGAGTAGCTAGGTGCATATTCTTGGTTTGGATCATTGATCGCTCTTTCCTTTTTTTTCTTTCTACTCTCTTTTCTGTCTTTTTTTTTTATTTTTCTTTTCTTTCTTTTTCCCATTTTTGGGTCCGATGGCAATGAGTATACAATGAGATTCCCCTCCATGTCATTAACCCCCTACCTCAGGTCATCAACTGGTTATACTGCTTGTTAATTTCAAACTTTTTGGTAAGTGTTAACTTTTTTCAGCATTAAAACATTTCATATTCTGCTGTATTTTCATTCTTAATCCACTTATGTTGTTCTATAGTTATGGGAAAAGTTCGGTTATTTTCATGTCCATATACATGTGGTTATATGTCCCTGGTGAATCCATGCCAGGAAAGCACTCTCCTGAGATAGAGCCTCCACTTGCAATATTGGTTGTGGATTTATTAGACAATCTTATTTGAAACCTGTTTGAGATTGTTGTTGAACTACATAAAAGCACTCTCTCAATTAGTTTTTTTTTGTTTTGTTTCGTAACTAAAATAAGCACATGCAAAGGGTAGAGATTTTGATTGAAACTAAAGTTTAAAGCTATGTTACATGGACTCGGTTACTTGTATTGAGTACCTGTATGTATCCATGCATTGGACGTGTCAAACCTTCAAATAGGAGAACACATGGACACTGCTAAATACTCGTTTTATTTAATTATTTTATTTGATTTTTTAGAGTAAACTAATGTTTTATGTAACATAGTGTTCAATATAGACATTTAACTCATTTTAAAGTAATATTATAATAAAACTGAATGATTGGATATGCTTTTTAAGGCCATGTCCAACCAAAAGTGTCGTACACATATCCCATACCCGTGTCCGAGCAATATGTGTCCGACATGGGTACTTCACCACTTGTGAAGAGTCCATGTAACATAGATTTAAAGCTTTTAAAATTACGTTTTGAGTAGAGATTCTATGTTTTAGGTAACTGTTTTTCCTAAGCTCAATTTTTTATTGACAATTTTATTCCTAAATATACATATTTGTTGGTACATAAATTTTTTTTTTTGGTAACAAAGAATCAACCCACTCGCTAGCCACATTGGACTCCTAGATGGTTTGCAAACTCCGGATATATGCAATCATCGGTAAACCACATATATCATTTATGCCTATTAAATATGTTGGTGCATAAATATAAGAACACTCTATCAAACGGCAATATTTTTAAGTTAGTAATTGAAATGCTTTAAGAAATAGTGTTACTAAACAAATTAAAAAGTATTTTATTATAATGCATCACCAAACACATACCTTGCTTTCCACCGACAATAGTTTTATCGTACTTTTTTTGTTTCAACAACACCGCCAAACAAGCCCTTGGTTTAGTTCTGACTTTGTTCATACTGCAAGTGTTGTCTTCATTGGTATATCATTAATTCTTCTATACAATAATTCAATACGTAGATCAAGCTTGATTAATGATTTGTACTTATCCTCATTATATAGAATGCCTAAAATTTTTTTATCTATATATTTTTTTGATAATTAATTTTTGCATCCATATTGGGTGAATGATGTTAAGTTCAGGTTCTTAGTTCATATCAAGTTTATGTACTGATTATTGTTAAGTATGTAGATGGACAACCTTTGGTGTTGGATGATTTTGAAAAGGACCTTCCTGCCAATTCTGTGAAGGCGATAACAGAATCAAAATGGACCTTCATTACTCAGGAGGTAAATTTGTCTTATATTTCCTTCATTATCTCTCTTTTTTCTCTTCCAATTTACTTTCGAATATTGTGTTAAGAAAGAAGCTGTGGTGCATATGTTAGTTTTAAATTGTATTTGACATGTGCCATGGTAATCACTTTCCAATCTAGAACCTAGACCTTTTACCTAAAACTGTCTGGCACTTCCGTTTCCATTTCACTTTCAGGTTTGGTTCACCTGAAGCTGGAAGAACATGTTAATCACTAGAAAACTTGGTTCTGGACCATATGTTATCCATGTCGGTTGAACAACCAATGTGACAGGTGTCACAAGGGGTCCAATTTTATACCAAATTTACAACGCTGTGATAACACTTGATCACACCAATTCTCAACCAACCAATGCACACGAAGGTTCAATAAGGCACAAGGAACAACACATACACAATTGAAGGAACCAAGATTCCAACCTTTCTGTGCTTAACAATAGTGCAAGGCATAACTCGGTTAAGGATTTGCAACAAGCTTACAATGCACCCTCTCTCTGTTGTGCTTGCAGACCCTAGGAAACCTGTTTGTAGGCTAGTCAGAAAACCACCCACAGCTATCCACTCTCTTGTTGTTGATACCCCCAATGTTCCTAGGATTTGTTGCATTCATTAAAATCTGTCAACAAGGCTTGCACTTAACACCTGTCAACTACTAGCCTCCAACTACAAGGCTTGTGCTGGCACTAACCAGCATGTGCTACAAGGTCAAGGGCAGTTCTTCAGCAGCTACCTCTCCTAGTTATTTAGCATCAGATGTTGCCATGCAAGGAAAGGTGGTTTCTTGGCACACCCCCACTTCCTATCAGGTAAACACGTGTGAGGAATTTGCAGAGAATGACCCACAATCGCTTGCAAAACTGCCAGCAACTCTGTGCATGTCACTTGTCTCAGGTCAATGCGCCTATAATCAACCTTTCAAATCAATGACATCACCCAGTCGATGGTCTTGGGCATGCCTCTAGTATGCTTTGTGCCACCAACTGATTTGATGCCTTTGTTTCTTGACCACAAGCCCAACGTCGTGCTCACATGCTTGTTAAGACTTGATTACTTGGACAAAGCTCAATGACATGTCTTGCCTCGGGTATTTGGGCACAACACAACACCATGCCCTCAATAGCCATCCACCACCAACTTGGTCTGCCAAATGGGTGCTGCCTCCTTCAGCTAGGCTTGGGCTTGTCAAGCCACCATGTCTCTCTAGCCCACATGTCCTTCAAGCCACAAAACCTTGCTCATGGTATGTTAGCACCACTAGACCCATACATGCTTGGCATGCCATGCCAGCACACAACTTGGGGCATATATCTATGTCCGCCCGCCCTTGGGATTGTGCCATCACTCGCTGGCCACCATGTGTTGCTGCCACCATTGAGTGGTGCACATGCCAAGCCTAACACAAATGAAAAAAAAAAAAAATAATAATCAAAGAGACCCGATAAAGATTGAAACCCATTACCAAAAGAGACGAGTTCATAGAGACCCAAAACAAAGATTGAAACCCATCGACAAAGAGACCCATTATATACTATATATTTGGAATGCTAGTATTATACATATTACTTAAATCGTCCCAAAATCAGTTCAGGATAATAATCCAAAATCTAGAACCCAAAAACCATACCCTAGAAAATGTCATTGTGGGAGAGGTTGTGGCTGTGGCCGTGGCCATTGTGGGAGGAGGTGTGGTGGCCATGAAATACGTATATGTGTATATATATTCTTATTATATGTGTTACTAATTACAACACTCGTGCGGTTGTAATTATAGGGATAAAATAGTCATTTGACATACTCAAATATTTTAAGCATTTTAAATAATATAATAAAGCGGGTAGATAAGTAAATTAATATATTCTAACATAGGGGGTCTTTGCAAAAAAAAATGACAAACTTTAAGTTTATTGCAGTTAGGTCAAATATCAGAGATCATTGTAATTTATCCTTATTTTAATAGGAGTAGCCCATCTATTTATAAAATTATTAATAACGAAATCATATATTATATTTAATTAGGTGACTATATTAATGACACTGCGCAATCAACATCTACTCCTATAATAGTGTCCTGAGCCTAGATTCTTCGGAGCTGTATATTTGACACATCTTATGGGAAGTCATGTTAAGAGTCCATAAAGTAGAGATAGTTTCTGAGTTCCCTCGTCACCTTTCGAAGGTAAGCTAATTATCTAGGTACACAAAAACATTTCAACTTTTAGACGCCATTGTTAATGACGTTGGGGCTCCCCTTACATGGTGAGAGCTGAGAGGGGGATTCCAGCCTTCCAGAACATATTATAGAAGATATGAAAAGTAAAGGGTGAGTTACGAGTAGGGGTGGCAAAATGGGTCACAACCCATCAATCCGCCTATATTTGTCCCCTTTTTAATAATTTTGGGTGAACTATATTTAAAATGGGTTAAAAATAAGTTGAGTAATTTTTAACCACTTAATTTGAGGGTCAAGATGGATTGGATATGGAAATTCATATTCAACTCATATTTCATCCATCACATAATAAATACAGAACACACATCTATTCTATATTGTATTCAACTCATTTCTCTCTCTCTCAAATTCTCACTCACGATCCTCTCTCTCAAAATTTATCTCTCATCAATCCCCTTTCTTTGTGTTTCTCTTTCTAGAAATTTTTTCTTTTTCCTTCACTTCTCTTTCTCTAAAACGAGTTGATAAATATTAGTGCATTTGAGATTGTTTTTTTAATTTGTTATTAAATAAAATTTTAAAACCTTCCGAAAAGAAATAATTAAAAAAATTAAAAATAAAAAATAATTTAAAAAGTAAAAAAATTTAAAATTTAAAAAATAATTAAAAAGTAATTTAAAATTTTAAAAAATAAAAAAATAATAATTAAAAAAAAAGTTAAAAAAATAATAATCAATAAGTTCACGGGTCATAATGGGTTGACCCTATACATTTTGACCCGTCAATATTCAACCCGTCTGAGTCTTGGCCCATATTTGACCCGCCCATTTTTAACTCCGTCCAACTCACCCATTTGCCATCCTTAGTTACGAGAGTAAGGAACGCGAGAGTTTTCTATCTTAGCTTAGCTAGTAAAGAACAATTCTACTTTTAGAGGTAATTGTTATGAGCATGCATGTCAAATAATGAGAAGTCATGTTACGTTTTGAGCCACATCAATTAGTCTACCCTGCATCCATTTTGCCCCATGCCAACGAGTTTGCCTCTCCAAACATGCTTCTGTTTCTGTACGTTCATGCTTACATCTCCATGTCACAGTTGAGTGCTCTGCCAGCCTTTGGATCACCTGTGACATACCCTGCATACTGATCAAAATCTACGCCATCTGGTTGCCCTAGCAAAGCGTCGATCTTGTCAGCTTGCATCAACCCATCTTGGGGACCAATGTACACATCAGAGTACTCTTCTGTGGCATGTAATTCTGCCCATGAATCTGAAACAGGGGGGTTTGGTGATCTTCTGGACTTGATCAACCTGTGAAGGTTTGCGGCCTGACTGGCATGACGACTTGAACTAACGAACGCCAAAAAGCAGATAGTGAAGAGCACCAAAGTGAGGCCTGTAGGTTTTTTCATATTCTTGCTTCTTAGCATGCATGTGTGCTAGTGTTCATAACAGAGACAATATGATATATAGTTAAGAAGGACGATAATATTGAGAAATCTTCTTTGTTTTTTCTTTGGTCCTTTGTTTGTTCATGGTGATTTTGGGGTCTACAATTAATCCCAAAAGTCAAACTTGCCGGCTATGGTTTCTATGGTGCTTGATTGCATTATGTTCTTAGTTTGCTTCTTTTAAGTTTTATATATGAATGATTCGTATCATTGTGTTTGGCTTATTATTGTTTTTTTTGTTAGACAAGACCATCTAATATAATCAAATGCAGCTTTATTATGGAAAATGACAATCACAATTAGTTATATTAGTGGTCAATTACAAAACAAATAAGCCTTTGTAGGAATATTTAGTTAGACCCTATGTGCTTGCAACCTGTAAAGAAGACAAGTTAATAAGCTAATTCCCAAGTTGTTGTCATCCCAATCCAAATTCATTATCTAGTCACGTGAGTCCTTTTTATCTCATATCAAAATTTTAAATCAGCGGTGAGTTTATTGTAAATCCTTACTAGTGAGGATCTAAGTATTGTCTGATAAATAATATACTATTAAAGAGAGTAGATAAGTAAATTCACATTATATTCTGACATAGTGTGTCTTTGCAAAAAAATGACAAACCTTAGGTTTATTTGCAATTAGGCCAAATATCAAGAGAGGTCAATGTGATTTACCCTTATTTTAATAGAAGTTGGCCCACCTACTTATAAAATTACGGATAATGAGATCATATGTTATATTTAATTAGTTGAGTATACTAATGACATCGCGCAATTAATGTCTACTCTTATAATAGTGTCTTGAGCCTAGATTCTCTGAGCTGTATGTTTGACAGATCTTATGGGAAGTCATGTTAGAGTCCATAAAGCAGAGATAGTTTCTGAGTTCCCTCGTCACTTTTTGAAGGTGAGCTAATTATCTAGATACACAAAGACATTTCTACTTTTAGATGACATTGTTAATGACATTGGGGCTCCCCTTACATGGTGAGAGGGAGGGTGAGATTCCAGTCTTCTAGAACAAATTATAGAAGATATGAAAGGGAAAGAGTAAGGAACAATTCTACTTTTAGAGGTACTTGTTATGAGCATGCATGCCAAATAATGAGTAAGGCATGTTATATTTTGGGCCACTGATGAGCGCTGAAAAGTACACATTTAAACCCCTTAAGCTTGAGTATTCTAGGACATTTATCTATCTTATTTACCCGTGTTAGTACTTATTTGTGTTTTTATCTATTTCAGGTCAATAATGTTAAAATGGGCTAAAAATGAGTTCTTAAGGCCTTTTTGGAGTCAAACTAAGTCTTAGCGATGATCCGGAGCAAAAAGAGGCTGATTTGGAGCAAAAAGAAGCTGATACTGAAAAGCTGAAAAGTTGGATGGATCGCAGAAAAAGTTAGATCGATCGAACTTTTAGTTGGATCGATCAGAAAAGTTGGATCGATCGAAAAATAAGTTGGATCGATCGAAAAAGTTGGATCGATCGAAAATAAGTTGGATCGATCGAACTGGACATGCTGGCAGCAAGCTGTCACTTTTTCCGTGCGCGCCCAAAAGTTCACCTACCAAAAAGTTGCGGGATTAGATATTTTTGGGCATATATTCTAGACTTAGTGACTAAAAAAAGGACCTTCTATATAAAGGGAAGCAACCCATTTGTAAAAAAGGATTCTTTAGGCTTTTTATCATTTTTATTTTCTACATTGTAATTATTTTTTCTCTAGAAAAGTTAGAGATTAGGGTTAGAAGAAAAGAGAGAAGTGGAGGCACATCTCAAAAACACATCTCTAAATCCACTATCTCTCCATCTCTAGAGCTTCAAAGAAGAAGAAGAAGAAGAGGAAGAAGAAGATAGAGCCATGTTTGGAGCTTGATTCCATGACTACATCCACCTCCTCCATGATTAACTAGATCTACACTTAGGGCTTGGATGAGCCCTTAGTCTTGTGTAATCTTAACCCTTGTATTTCTATTTTTGGGGATTTTTATATATATTGTTGTGATTAGTGTTCTAACCTTGTGAATGTCATGAATCTTGGTATATTTCTATGATTTCCATGGTCTAATTCTTCCTATTAATTCTCTAGTTTATTTACATGTCTATATGTGATTAAATTAGGAATTATGTCTCACATGATTCATATGGGTTAATTCTTCCATTGATTCTCTATTTTAATTACATGTTGTCTTATGTGTGATTATTTGGGGAATTGATCTCTACACTAGTTTTTCTATATTAATTGCATGTCTATGTGTGATTGATTGAAAATCTAGTGATGGCTAGACATTAGTGCTTAATGGAATGCTCTTGTTATGTCTCTTGATGGTTCATACTTATTCCTTGATGGATTGTACCTCTCCCTTAGTTTATTTTCATGCTAGTAGTGTAGTTGTAGTGTAGTGTTAGGTGGGGGAGACAATTCATGCTTGTTCTTTGATGTTCCATGTTTTTGAATGCAAGAAGCATATGCTCTAATATTGTGGTGTAATGGAATTTTGAGCTTAATGAATGATTAATGACTAGTTATGATATGTTGTATCTTTCACATGTGTTTAGACAATTTATTCCTCTCTCAATAGATATATTGTGGCCTCTCACATGATGTTTAGATAATACATGTTTAACTAAGTCATCCTTGTGAATTATTTGGACTATGAGCTTAATGAAATGTTTAATGACTTGATTTGATATTTTGTTCTCTTCACATGTTGTCTAGACAATATATTCCTCTTCCAATAGATATATTGTGGCCTTTCACATGTTGTTTAGACATTATACACTTGTTGAGTCACCTTTGCTAGTCGAACCAATTTTGTTCACAACAATGTATTCCCCATTAATGGAAAGCAAGTGGTTAATTACACAAGCTTAGTGGTGATTCCAACACCCTAAGTCCTCTCTTCTCATCTCTTAAATCCCTATCTCTACTTAGTTTTATTTTTATTGCATTTTAATTAATTATTTTCTAGAAGTAATCAACCAACCCAACTCTCTTTTGCAATCATTTGGTACGCTAGAGTCGAAGTTGAAATTCCAACACGTATAATCCATTGGGACGATCCCTACTCACTCTTGCTACGTTAGTAGTGGTGTTGGTAGTGGTTTTTATAAATTTAAATTTGACATAAAAGGCTTTTCTTGAACCACACATTCACTACATTTAGTTTGGCGTATTGGAACGGCCGTCGTCAGCCACATCAATTAGTCTACTCTGCATCCATTTTGCCCCACGCCAACGAGTTTACCTCTCCAAACATGCTTCCGTTTCTGTAAATTCATGCTTACATCTCCATGTATCCAGGTCTTAAACCGCCATCTTCCCCAACTCCGGCAAAGCTTCGAAGTTGATGCTGACTTTGTCAATTTGGATTGGTACCTGTTGATGCTTCAAAGCTCATTCCATACCAAGAAGCAAGCAACTTTTCTTGTGTTTACCCTAGTGATTTGTATACTTCCCAATTTTGATATACCTATTTCTGTAGCTTATATTGAATGGCCACATTCTTCTGAGTAAATTTATGTTTCAATGGCCTCACTCTAGTGTATATAACATATGGTAACACAGAGGGTTTGGAATGTTGATGAGTAATGAAATAATTTCATTTTTCTAGCTTTGTGTATTTGTGTATCATATGAGAATGCAAATCCATTGAGATAAAAATAGAAATTTAAGAGCATGTCATGTAGAGAGGGCGGTATCCTCAGGGTCTCTCCAGCCATTGAATCATCTATCAGGTTAGTCCCACTACCACATTCAACGACTGAAAAACCCGAAATACAATACATTCGGGATACTCACATAATCATCGATACATAATCATCGATGCAAAATGAATACTAGTGTAAACCTCCATCGAAATTTATATTGTCCACACTGGAAATGGAAAGAAAAAATGGATGGTGTTACCTTATTTTGTCTTTTCATGTGCAAGCATTTGATGAGTTAATTGGACCTAATGATTGCTAATGTTTGATGAGTTGGATTGGAATTGGAATGAAGATAACCAGACGGTTCTGTCAAAGTAGGAAATGTGCTAAATGAATGGTCAATTAGGAAATGAAGGGTCAATTAGGTTAGGTTTGGCACAAGAATACCTAAAAATGGGATTGAGAATAACTACTACATATGTTATGCTAGAGTCGAACTGTAGTAAAAGTGAAACAAAGCTGATGATTTTTTGGGCCATTCACTATTTTGTTTACATTTTAATTTTAGTATATGAAACCCACTCAAATGATAGACTGTTTAATTTGGTGAAATGAAGTAAAAGTTTGATCGATTTCTACAATTTGCACCAATTGAATTTAAATTCAAATTTTAACCATACAATCTTTATGTCATTCTCTTTCAAAAGGATAGATGTATATTTCTATATTACTGCATATTAGAAAGAAAAACAAAACAAAAAAAAAAAAAAAAGCTTATTGTCATATATGCATGCATAAACAAGGACTATCATACATAAATAATTCTCAAATTTAATGATTAAATGGAGTTAACTCATGCATCTTATCATGAGAGGATTACCCTGATAACATTATTTTTATTGTATGCTGAGTATAAAAATAGTGTACATCTTATATCACCCAAGTTACTCACGCTAAAATAATCTAATTGTAAAAATTAAAAATAATAATAATAATAATAAAAGCTTTAAATAAAATTATATGAAGTAGTAAATGACAACAATTTAATTTGATCAAATAAAATCAATAGAGAACATTAAAGTTTGATTAATCCCTTCAATTTGCAATAAATGGATGGATTTTGAGTATTCAATTATAAATTTGAATTCGGGTTCTTTCTTTATTTTTCTTTTTGGAATCCGATCCGACCCGACCATAGTGTAAAACAAAAAAAGGAGAAAGCCAAAATAAATACTACTCCCTAAAACAAAAAAAAATTCCGCTGCCGGGACTCGAACCCGGAGCTCTCTTGGAAAGAGAGCCAAAGACCAAATCATTGTTTAAGTTTGCTACAGCGGATGATTTGTTGGTGTTCCATTCCAATTTAATTTTGTACTTTAAAAAAACAAGAAGCGCACCTCGCCTCTAAAATCGATCAGTTATACATACATATATATATATATATATATATCAGTTCAACCCTGAATTGAATTGAAGTCCGATTGTTGTTGCTCATCTTCTTCGTGCTGTGATGGTCTCAAATCCATCAACCATTGACACTTCGTCCTGGGATGGAACCCTCTCCTCACGTGACTTCTGTCTTGCGGCACGTGCTTTCTCTGATATATGGAAAACCTCCAATCCTGCTATGCCTCAATGGTCATGGGTAGTCCCTTCTCCAAAACTACCTCTCATTGCTCCCCATCAAGTTAGTCTTTTTTTTCCCATCATTCTAAATACTCTCTCTCTCTCTCTCTCTCTCTCTCTCTCTATATATATATATATATATATATATATATTAAATCTCTCTCTGTATGTATACATATATCAGGTAGAAGGGTATTTATTGCTAGAGAATGTGATTCTTCCCAGGTTTAGTGAGGTTGGGTCTTTATATTTTAACTTGGAATCAATCAGCTCTATATTGGGTGTGTTTAATTTGCTATGTTAATCACATTATGAGACTCTTTTTTGCAGGAAGATCATGATGAAGGAAGTCATACTCAAAAAGAAGAGCCCAGTTGTTCTGATCAGGATGAGCCTATTGATAGTGCCATTTTGGTATGTATAATTTTGGTGATTTTATTGTTTCAGCTTTCTTATTTTTATAAAACATTAAAATGTCGAATTGGACACAGATAATGATACTAGGAGTTATATTTTACTAAATAGCTCAGGTTTTTTTTTTTTTTCTTTGGTCCCTTCTATGATGCTCTTGAAAGATATAATTGTTCTATTTGCTAGGTAAAGAGCTGTGGTGGTGAATTACATCACTATGACTTCCATATTGTGTACAGCACTTCATATCGTGTCCCAGTGCTATATTTTCGTGCTTATTGCAGTGGTATGTACATCCATATGCAACTTTTTATGAAGAGAGTATCATTTTAATGTTTTTACAAAACAACATGTAACAATGTGCATCAGATTTACTTTTCATACATGTGGTGCAAACATGTGCAAATAAATCTAATTCTCATGCCAAAAATTCTCTTAGTAATATGATGAAGCTAATAATAACCCAAAAATTCTTTTAGTTACATTGACTTTCTATTTATGGGAGTAGAAATTATATCATGGGTGAGTGGCTAGGAAACTAGATGATTTCCTAGGTTTTAGACAATAGAGTATGCGGTTTTGCGCTGACTAGAAATTATATATTTTATAACATGCTCTAAAGTGTAATGCTTTTCAGCTGGATTTAATTGTCATTGATTTTTCAAAAATATTACCATGATATCATATATTTCACTAATGTATTCTATATTCTGAGTTGGTTTGATCTTTTTTCTTTTCTCCTCTCTCTCTCATACACACACACACACATATATATGCAAGATGTCTCTTTGTTTGGCATCACTATATAAGTATATATAAATCTTGATATTTATGAACCTTTTCATGAAATTTTCCAACTCAAATTTGATGCATAGAACATTGTTCAAATTTTATTTAGCAGCATGGTTTGAGAGGAATGCTTTGATTGTAATTATAACTCAAAGACACTAAAACCTTTCCCACAGTTGCAGAATGTTTCAATTTATGCGCCTTCCGATTTTTAGATAAACCAATAAAGATATATGGTCTGATGAGGCAACTATGAAATATTTACTCATGGGTGGGGCAGGCTCGTCCAATTTCATTTATGGTTTAACTTGACTATGTTATGTTGAATTACTTGTTTCGCATATCCCACTTTCTGTCAATACAACTAGCATATGCAAGACTAGATCTGCAAGTTGTTCTTGTTGGTAGGCAAGCGACATAGGTAGATAGGGCGATTGAGCGTGAGCAGTAGCTAGGTGCATATCCTTGGTTTGGAGCATTGATCGCTCTTTCCTTTTTTTTCTTTCTACTCTCTTTTCTGTCTTTTTTTTAAATTTTTCTTTTCTTTCTTTTTCCCATTTTTGGGTCCGATGGCAATGAGTATACAATGAGATTCCCCTCCATGTCATTAACCCCCTACCTCAGGTCGTCAACTGGCTATACTGCTTGTTAATTTCAAACTTTTTGGTAAGTGTTAACTTTTTTCAGCATTAAAACATTTCATATTCTGCTGTATTTTCATTCTTAATCCACTTATGTTGTTCTATAGTTATGGGAAAAGTTCGGTTATTTTCATGTCCATATACATGTGGTTATATGTCCCTGGTGAATCCATGCCAGGAAAGCACTCTCCTGAGATAGAGCCTCCACTTGCAATATTGGTTGTGGATTTATTAGACAATCTTATTTGAAACCTGTTTGAGATTGTTGTTGAACTACATAAAAGCACTCTCTCAATTAGTTTTTTTTTCGTAACTAAAATAAGCACATGTAAAGGGTAGAGATTTTGATTGAAACAAAAGTTTAAAGCTATGTTACATGGACTCCGGTACGTGTATTGAGTACCAGTATGTATCCATGCAGTGGACGTGTCAAACCTTCAAATAGGAGAACACATGGACACTGCTAAATACTCGTTTTTTGTAATTATTTTATTTGATTTTTTAGAGTAAACTAATGTTTTATGTAACATAGTGTTCAATATAGACATTTAACTCATTTTAAAGTAATAATATAATAAAACTGAATGATTGGATATGCTTTTTAAGGCCATGTCCAACCAAAGGTGTCGTACACATATCCCATACCCATGTCCGAGCAATATGTGTCCGACACGGGTACTTCACCACTTTTGAAGAGTCCATCTAACATAGGTTTAAAGCTCTTAAAATTACGTTTTGAGTAGAGATTCTATGTTTTAGGTAACTGTTTTTCCTTCTCTCAATTTTTTATAGACAATTTTATTCCTTAATATACATATTTGTTGGTACATAATTTTTTTTTTGTAACAAAGAATCAACCCACTCACTAGCCACATTGGACTCCTAGATGGTTTGCAAACTCCGGATATGTGCAATCATCGGTAAACCGCATATATCATTTATGCCCATTAAGTATGTTGGTGCATAAATATAAGAACACTCTATCGAAGGGCAATATTTTTAAGTTAGTAATTGAAATGCTTTAAGTAATAGTGTTACTAAACAAATTAAAAAGTATTTTATTATAATGCATCACCAAACACATACCTTGCTTTTCACCGACAATAGTTTTATCGTACTTTTTTTGTTTCAACAACACCGCCAAACAGGCCCTTGGTTTAGTTCTAACTTTGTTCATACTGCAAGTGTTGTCTTCATTGGTATATCATTAATTCTTCTATACAATAATTCAATACATAGATCAAGCTTGATTAATGATTTGTACTTATCCTCATTATATAGAATGCCTAAATTTTTTGCATCTATATATTTTTTTGATAATTATTTTTTGCATCTATATTGGGTGAATGATGTTAAGTTCAGGTTCTTAGTTCATATCAAGTTTATGTACTGATTATTGTTAAGTATGTAGATGGACAACCTTTGGTGTTGGATGATTTTGAAAAGGACCTTCCTGCCAATTCTGTGAAGGCAATAACAGAATCAAAATGGACCTTCATTACTCAGGAGGTAAATTTTTCTTATTTTTCCTTCATTATCTCTCTTTTTCTCTTCCAATTTACTTTCGAATATTGTGTTAAGAAAGAAGCTGTGGTGCATATGTTAGTTTTAAATTGTATTTGATATCTGCCATGGTAATCACTTTCCTTCTAGAACCTAGACTTTTTACCTAAAACTGTCTGGCACTTCCGTTTCCATTTCACTTTCAGGTTTGGGTCACCTGAAGCTGGAAGAACATGTTAATCACTAGAAAACTTGGTTCTGGACCATATGTTATCCATGTCGGTTGAACAACCAATGTGACAGGTGTCACAAGGGGTCCAATTTTATACCAAATTTACAACGCTGTAATAACACTTGATCACACCAATTCTCAACCAACCAATGCACACGAAGGTTCAATAAGGCGCAACGAACAACACATACACAATTGTAGGAACCAAGATTCCAACCTTTCTGTGCTTAACAATAGTGCAAGGCATAACTTGGTTAAGGATTTGCAACAAGTTTAGAATGCACCCTCTCTCTGTTGTGCTTGCAGACCCTAGCAAACCTATTTGTAGGCTACTCAGAAAACCACCCACAGCTATCCATTCTCTTGTTGTCGATACCCCCAATTTTCCTAGGATTTGTTGCATTCATTAAAATCTGTCAACAAGGCTTGCATTTTACACCTGTCAACTACTAGCCTTCAACTACAAGGCTTGTGCTGGCACTAACCAGCATTTGCCACAAGGTCAAGGGCAGTTCTTCAGCAGCTACCTCTCCTAGTTATTTAGCATCAGATGTTGCCATGCAAGGAAAGGTGGTTTCTTGGCACACCCCCACTTCCTATTAGGTAAACACGTGTGAGGAATTTGCGGAGAATGACCCACAATCGCTTGCAAAACTGCCTGCAACTCTGTGCATGTCACTTGTCTCAGGTCAATGCGCCTATAATCAACCTTTCAAATCAATGACATTACCCAGTCGATGGTCTTGGTCATGCCTCTAGTATGCTTTGTGCCACCAACTGATTTGATGCCTTTGTTTCTTGACCACAAGCCCAACGTCGTGCTCACATGCTTGTTAAGACTTGATTACTTGGACAAAGCTCAATGACATGTCATGCCTCGGGTATTTGGGCACAACACAACACCATGCCCTCAATAGCCATCCACCGCCAACTTGGTCTGCCAAATGGGTGCTGCCTCCTTCAGCTAGGCTTGGGCTTGTCAAGCCACCATGTCCCTCTAGCCCACATGTCCTTCAAGCCACAACACCTTGCTCATGGTATGTTAGCACCACTAGACCCATACATGCTTGGCATGCCATGCCAGCACACAACTTGGGGCATATATCTATGTCTGCCTGCCCTTGGGATTGTGCCACCACTCACTGGCCACCATGTGTTGCTGCCACCATTGAGTGGTGCACATGCCAAGCCCAAGGCATGTTGGTTCTTTCTAAGCTTGCCAGCTAGGCATGCCAAACCTAGTTAAGTGGGTTTCAGAGCTAGGTTGAGAGACCAAACCCCCTATACTTGCACAAAACTAAAAGTTGCAGCTTTGACAGGAGGAAAGTCACCTATGCTTGAGGAGTTATCATTCCGTAATTAATTATGTAGATCTCCAAAATTCAAATTGTTTGTTGTAATGGCCTTCAATGGCTTGAGAATACTCCCATAATTTTTCCAAGTCCATTCTCCAAGTCTAAACCATAGTTTGAACCTTTCGTATTGGTACGAAATTGTCACTGCCGCCTCTGACCGCCGCCTACTTGTGTCCAAACTTGACTATGTGAGGTATAGCCAACCACCTTTGGCCCAGGCCATTGCTTGGGGAGATTATCATGGATCTAACAGCAGCCTGTGTGGCATGTTATAAGTAATTTATATGGCAGCATAGTTTGAAAATATTGAGGTGGAAGATTTTTAGTTTCTTTCTTCTCTCTTAAAGATTTTTTAGCTTCCCTGTCGTCAGCTCTAACTGTTAACTTTACCATGCAAACATTGTATTAATTCAGACTAAGAAACCATGATGAACGTGCTTAGTTTTCATAAATCTAGTGAAGCGCATTAATCTCAGATTGTCTGATGGTATGATGCCTGTTCTGTTTCAACGAGACTAATGGTCATTCCTGCTACTTCACTACAGAAGTGTTATTAAAATTAGATCCCTGATATCCTTGGAGTTATGGCTTTGATTAATTTGCACTATTCAACTTATTTGAAGGAACAAAATCATGTCTTTGCAGAAATTTCTTTCTTTGATATGGGTAGTTCTTTCTTTTGTTTGGCGTGTATGCTTACTAAAGTTGACAAGCTATTTCCTAACAGATTAGCTTGATCATATTTTACACATACACCCAGAAACTAGTTTATTTTGTGATTTTGATGTTCTGGGTAGGTGTTATAGTCCATAGAGATCTGTGGTCTTGTGTTTTGGAAGTCTTTGCATATCAGTATTTCCTCAATTGCTAACCAATGAAGTTTTTTTAACATTCTCGAACCAATTTTCAGTCATTGGGAATGTTGATACAATATCTTGAATGTTGTTAATTGTAGGAGCACCCATACTTGAACAGGCCATGGTACACACTACATCCATGTGGGACCAGTGAATGGATAAAGCTGCTTTTAACTGCCGAAGCTTCCATGGCTAAAGGTGCATGTGCAATTGAGAAATATCTGGTATCGTGGTTCTCAGTTGTTGGGCAGGTGATTGGTCTTAGGCTCCCCTTTGAAATGCTGAGTGATAATGCTCAGTTGTAGTTGATAACTAACGTTTGGATGAGACAGTCTATTAGTTTTAACATTTTTTTTTTTAGGATAGTTTAACAAGAATACAAGATTATTAAACACAATTCCAAAATCTCCTAGGCTAAATACATTTGTTGTATCTATATCACAAATAATTTTATTTATGATGAAATATTATTAGATCGTAGTTTATGGCACACATCGGTTTAAGTTTTACAAGAAAATGTATGATGTCATCCAGGTCTGACTACATGGTGGTGCTAGTGATATCTTGCAAGGCCAACTTTATTATGAAATAAACTCTGTTTTACTCTAATATTTTGGTTGACTCCTTTGAGCTGGTTGGGAAAGAGAGAAAATAACAGTATTCTTGCTGCAATTGGCCCATTTTGGCTCATTTTTTCTCCTCTAGCGGCTAAAGTGTGTAATATTAATTGAAATACCACTAGTTTCATGTTTTAGCTTATTATCTTGTTTGCTTATGTCCAATTCAGTGCATTATGCAACCATATTCTTTACACATGAAGAAATACGTGTTAGAAAATCTTCAAAAATTTGGGAATCTAAAGCTAGGCGGTACTAGGGATGGCATGATCACCAAATCCATGTTCTATAATTTGTTTCCTCAATTACAGGAGTTAAGCTCGGATTTTAAGCCCTTTTGAACGAATTCTTCATTAAAAATCTTCAAATGTATATATGCACAACATATTTACATATATATTCATGTTTCCAGCTATGCTTTCCATTCCGTATTTACCTTACATACACTGATATACACACACAGCACGTGCACAGAAAAATCTGCAGTGTGATAGAATATTGAGAGCTATGCACCATTTGAAACTGCCATGACTGCGTAATCCATGGTTTACTACTATAGTACCACGAGTGCTTCCTCTGTTGCATATGGTGAAGTACAGATCTTTTTAGTTCATTATCTTCATTAACTTTTGGCTGCAATAGTATGTTCTAGTGCATTTAGGATGTTCACGTTAAAGCATTACCGGAACTCCCATTTTCTGCTCCAGTGAACCTTGTGGAAATGTATTGATCAGAATGATCATTACAGCACATGATTTTGATCAGAGGGAATATGTTTAAAGGTAGACTTAGAGTCTGCATTTTCCGTTTGCAGTTTGCAGGTGATAAAGGTTCCCGTCTCAAAAAAATCAACACAAACAAGGTCATCTATCACTGACTTGAAGTCATACTAGAAAATATGTGTCCAAGCCTGCATATTGGCCCTACCGGCTTCACACCAATTTGGAAAGGACTTGCTAAGAATTTTAACCAAACATTATAGGTTTTGGCATGCTCTAGTTAGTTGCAAAAAATGAATTACAGTCACGAATGATTACATGTTTGATACTTTGTGACACATCTCATAGTTCATTGTCAAAAGGTCCTGATTGTTTACCACAACGACATGAATCCATGATTTATATTGCTGCTAATCTATGAAAATCCTGTGTCTGATAGTTGTTGAATGCAGAGTTAGACTGATTTATGGCTGAGACTGTGCAAAATTATGTTGCAATATCAGCGAGCGAGCTGGCAGTTATTCAACTTAGCTAATAAGAACAACCCAGTATGTTCTCAATATAGGTGGCTAGTGGTTAAATGTGGGTAGGTTTTGCTTCTCATCTTGCAGATCATTTCTCTTTCCAATATCTAATGAATTTGTGCCTCTTTTCTTCTATGTGCTGTTTTGGTGATGATTGAGTTCTCATGATTCCATAACAGCTTGGATATGGAAGTGAGTGAGTTTTGGTATGGTTGCTATGCAGTAATCATAGACCAAAGGGTCAAATGACTGCATAATCCTCCCATCAGAAATATTACTCCCATGTTTCAACACCTTAAAACTTGTTGATACTATTGTTTTGACCCAAGTCACACAGAGCAGGTTTGGGAGCTGGAGTGAGTGCCAAAGCGGGAGTGGGAGTGGGAGCGCGGAAGAGGCAAAAATCTAAGTAATACAAAGTGGGAAGTAGGAGTGGGAGTGCACTCGGAGCATGGGAGCGGCACTCTTTTAGAAAAATTGCATGACTTAGGTTTTGACTCAGCTCCTGTTTTCTGTTTCAGTTAGAGCAGCGTCTTGCTTTAATATTTTTGCATCAGTTTTAGCCCATTGCATATGTTGTATGCCCCTCTTAAGACATCTTCATAGTTTTTGACATATCTATACTACTATTAAAAGTGTAAGAAATTCTCCTTTTTATATATGAATTGCAATTTTTAATTCTTGATTATTAACATGTTAATGAACCAGTAAATGTGTCATTATATTTAGCATATCAAGAGACAACAGTTATAACATTATACTTAGCATATACCAAAAGATAACAGTGATATAAATATGGTTATTTCATAAATAGTTACAAAAATATATATATTTCTTCTATAAACTTTTTGAAATTCCCAAACTGTTGGAATAGAAGCCGTTGCAACAGTTCATAACCACTCAAATACAGTGTCCTATTGTGCACCTAACTAATGCTCTGTTTGTTTGGATGTAAAATATTTCATCAATTTTAAGCAAATTATTTTACACGCCTCTTCCAATGGGCTCTATCTCAACCTTGATGTACACCTTTGCCAAATACCGAAATAACAAAAATAAAGAAAATAATTTACCTAAAAAGTAAAATCTTTTACAAAAAAAAATATTTTAGCCTGTGAACAATTTTTTTAGGAGAGTAATTTTCTCTAATGTTAATTATTTTCTTCTAATTTTCGAAATAGGCTCTCTAATTTGCTCCCCACAAAAAATTATTTAGGAAAAAAAAAAAAAAATGGCTCCAAATTTTACAGCCTAACGGAGCAGCTCATCACAATAATCTTAATAGTTGAGTTTCTCTTCGAACAAGCTTGGACTTCCTTGAAAAAAAATATTTTGGACTTAGCGAACCATTTGCATGAAATAGCAATTGTCCAAAAATGTCTACTAACATATATGTGGGATATATATGACCACAAACATCAATTCTTTTTCTTCTTTTAAATATGAACATATACATTGACATATGCATAATTAATAATTTTTTTATGATTTATTTATTTATTTATTATCTAAATATGAATTCTTCAAATATACTAGATTATTTTATAACAAATATAAATTATTCTCTTTTGCACAATTGTTCGAATCTGAAGTTGGTATTTATAATATGAAACTTGGATAATTTATAAGAATGAATTTGCTTCCAATTCATTTTGGAAAGCTCTAAATTTTGCATGTAGATATATGAAATATTTGTATATTATGTATACGCACGTGCACGTGCACGTGCAAATTTTCCTAAAATATGAACGAAAATGATAAATGAATGTGCAAACTGCATAAAGCATATGGGTCTTCACGAAAAATGACCATTAAAAGTATTTTTAAGATAGAGACCTATTTAAAATTTCACAAGACTCTGCTTTCAGAACTCTTTTTACTTATCATATTTCTCTCTATTTCTTTTCATTCATATCTTCCCCGCAAGCAAAAGTTTTCATCCCATGGCGATTTTCACCTTCCTTAACCTTTCCGATTTTCTAGGGTATGGTTTTTGGGCTCACTGAGTTCTGTAATTAAACTCAAATTGTCTGGATCGGGCTCACTGAGTTGTGTAATAAAGCTCGAATTGTCTAGCTCGAGTTTGATGATAGAATTTTAAAAAAATTATACACTAAGAGAGGGAGACAAAAATAAAAATTCCGCTGTCAGCACTCGAACCAGGGACTCTCGAGAGAGAAAGCCGAATTCCAATATCATTGTTTTTAAAATACAGCGGATTATCTGTCATGATGCCATACCAATTTGATATTATACTATGTAGCTCTAGTCCAAATTTCTTAATTTTACGTCAAACCCTTGAATTGAATATCATCAGGACTCTCTCTATATATAATAATGATAATAATAATAAATAAATCAAATTGGTATGGCATAGGATAGTTCTAATTTTCTTCTCACATTTTGTCTGGTACACAAAATTTTAATCACTCTAAAAACATTCTCCGTACATGTTCGATGTATAATAGGAGTAGATTTGGTATCATTATAATGCAATCACAATGTATTATGTTAAGGGTAAACTACAATGACCTTCTTTAAGATTTGATCTAATTGCAAATAAACTTGAGGTTTGTAATTTTTTTGCAAGAGGTTTGTCCGATTTTACAAAGACCTCCTTGTACAAAAATTAGTATTTTTTGTCAAAAAAAAAAAAAAAAAAAAAAAAAATAGTTTAAAGTGACCAAAATACCCTTCAACAAAGTAAAAAAGACTCTATTTTAATATTTGGTACATATATCCTAAATCTTCCCAAAATCAATTAAGGATAACATTCCAAACCGTCTCACTGATACATTTTTAGCCACATCAATTGGTCTACTTTGCATCCATTTTGCCCCATGCCAACGAGTTTACCTCTCTAAACATGCTTCCGTTTCTATAAATTCATGCTTACATCTCCATGTATCCATATCTTAAACCGCCATCCTCCCCAACTCCGGCAAAGTTTCAGAGTTGATGCTGACTTTATCAATTTGGATTGGTACCTGTTGATGCTTCAAAGCTCATTTCATACTAGGAAGCTAGCAACTTTTCTTCTGTGTTTACCCTAGTGATTTGTATACTTTCGAATTTTAATATACCTATTTCTGTAGCTTATATTGAATGGCCACATTATTCTATGTAAAATTATGTTTCAATGTCCTCATTCTAGTGTATATAACAGTGAGAGGGTTTGGAATGTTGATGAGTAATAAAATAATTCCATCTTTCTGTGTCTTTGTGTATCATATGAGAATGCAAATCCCTCAAGCTAAAAATGTTTGATTTTGTGAATGAAAATTGTTTTATCAGTCATCAACTAATGTCTTGGACTCAGCACGTGTGATTACTAGTTGGTTCTGGAATGAAAGATACAACTCAAAAGCAATAGACATAATTTATTCAATGTGAACCATTACAACCTATTGCAGTGGGTGTGTCCGGTGATGAAGAGACACGTATAAATGGTTGTTTCCAGTGATGAAGAGACATATATAAATGATTGTGTCTAATGATGAAGAGACATACCCAATCCGAAAAAGCACTTCTATTTATATAAATACCTTATTAGGCTACCATTTGTAATTCGTTCAATTCATTTTCTTCTATCTCCTTCTCTAGACTTGAACTCAACCTAA